AAAAAAAATCTGTCGAGTTTTATGGGGGTCTTTGCATCTGCAGCAGAAATCAGAATAGCCTATTAACGAAGATTATGAACGAGAAAATGAAGTCGAGATTTTGAAATATTGTAGTGCACAATTAAAATCACACCTTTGGTATTAGTTTGAAAAAACTCTGCGGCTCAAAAGATCGAAAAAATTGATTTTTCAACTTTAGGATCTCATAAATCTATGGGAACAAGTCTATCACCAAATTCTACCTCTTCTTCAAAGTGTACTCTATCCTATACAGGTAATTTACTTGTTTCTCGAAAATTTTCAGGACCATTAAAATTGATTTTTTTCAGCGGCGACGCCCTGAATTTGATATTCGTCGCACAATTCTTACAATATTTCGTGATAGAGTTCTCAGCAAGGTAGGCCACAGTTACAGAATTTCTCATAAAAGAAAATTATTGATTTTATTGATTACTTCATGTTTTTCAGGTTTTGCGCGATGTCCATGAGCGCATTCCAGTACTGGAACCGATGTTGTTTACTATACTTCTTGAGACGGAAAACACTTCCGAAGAATCAAAGAATTTCGCTATTTTAGCTGATCGGGTGATGGGCAAAGGGGTAAGCTTCAAAAAATTCTATTTTACCCTTCAAGAAATCAATTAGTCGTTTATAGGACAAGCCCGCGCAGCCGGAAACCCGAATTCGTTCCCGGACCCTACCAAACAAGCCAGTTAAACGAGTGTCATGGGACGATTTGAGAAAATCTGCAACGTTCAGCACATAATTTCCTTAGTGATTAGAAAAGATGACTCGTCCGCACTCTGCGGACGAGTTTTTATGATGTTTTTGCGATGTTGACATTGTACCTCTTCGTACACATCCGTTGTGGCGTACATCCGATTCTCAGCTACGCCCGGTGCAAAATACAGGTGTCTAGTGTGTATGTGTATAATGAAAATTTTCCAATTATTTTTCATGTTTCTATTTGCGCCCTCCTTAGGTTGCGTTCACAGTTGCGTGCGTTCCAATGCTGTGCCAGCACCGTGTTCAAATATCGATCGATAAATACAGGGCGCGTCACGTAAGTGCTGGCGACTTTGAACCCAGCCTAATAGGAGGACCCTTGATTGCGGAACTTCAGTTTTTGCTTTCTCTGCTTTTTTCAAACTGTGTTCTCTAAAATCATTCCTCATTTTCTTTTATTGATTTTATTGATTTTCTTCTATAGTATAATACGCTCCAAGCATAAAGTTCATTGAAGACACTTCGTAT